TGCAGCGGCGCGGGAGAAGTGTCTGAGTTGGGAGATGCTGCCCGAAAAATCCCTGCGCAGCTCCAGCCAGGCGAGCAGGAGGAGCTCAGCTCCAGCAAAGCCAGCCTTCCCTGCAAATGCGCATTTAACCTGGCCTGAATAGTAGGGGAGTCAAGTAATGCACTTTGTCACTGATAATGACTGCTCGTGATGAGATTTGCTGCTTATTAATTAATGCATTTATTTGCAATTTAGCAGCAGAAATGAGCTGTGTTAACGATGACAAAAAACCTGCTGGATGTTTTTGCTACAAGGAGAGCTGGGGCAGTCCGGTAACTATTGCTTGTCACGAGGTCAGAAGGCAGCACGCAACTTTTGCCGGCGTAAACCAGCAAAGCGAAACCCCGGCTCGCCAGCCGCCGGGAGCCTCTAAGGATGGAGCTGCCATCCAGGTGGTGGGAATTCAAGTTTCAGCTCAGTCCTTAGTGACAAATAGCTCAGATCACAGCCACCGCGCAGGCAGACAGGCGGGGAAAGCAGGCAGGTTGCTGACAAGGACCTACTGGATTTTGCACATTTAGTTTTTGACAAGGCAGGAATTTTGCAGCCGAAAACCAAAACTCAGCCTCTTGCCCGGGAGTTTTTCATTCACTCTCTTCTCCCACTATTTGCAAACACGGGGCCGTGAGCCTCCCCGTGACAGGCTTCAATGGCCTGTCGAGTCTTTCCAACTCTCTGAATTCCTCCTTTCGAGAGACTGCGGGGTAAAACGTACGTTCACCCCTGAGGTTCTGCTGCAGCTGACGACAGATAGTGGCTGCTCCCAGTATAAAAACACAAGTTCAATACCACTCCTAATTGACTTGGACTTTGAGGCGCTGAGACACCCACCCCTTTTGTGTTGGCAGCTCAGAGTCTGAGCATGAGTAAGTGTTCAGCGTTCCCAACCAGAAACTATTTGTAAATTTGCAAACAACTTCCCCAACCCCTCGGTGAAGAAGTGGAACTGCAACGCGCCGTATTTTCTGCTGATAAAAGGCTATTCCTAATTAGCAGCCAACTACCGCTGAACTGGCTTCCAGTCTCAAACAGTTAACTTTTCACATCCTCAACCAGAACCCTGTTGAAGTGCAGAAAAAATTTGGATATTCAACATAACCCCCAACCCGCTGTGCCCCCCCCACGCCGCCTGCATCCTAAGCTAAGTGTGAAACACCTGCTTGGATTTATTTTTTTTTGTACAGTAAATATATACAAATAAAAGTAACACAGATACCACTTATTTCTTTGTGAATTTGGCACTTTCCACGGAACGTGTACAGGAAAGCTCTGCTGCGGGAGCGGCACGGGGCCGATCTCGCCAGCGTCGCCCACCCACCCTCACCACCACGAGACCGATTCTGTGTTAGCTCTGGAAGAACGAGATAAGTAACAACTCCTCAGCTACTGTGTTTTCTAACAGGAAAAGGTATTCTGGGCTTTCCCGGGCACTCAGCAGAGCCCAACGCCGACTGGCTGGCGTCAAGCCTCAGAGAGAGCATTAATTCATCTTTCGCCACGCGTAGGTGGTGTGGTAGCAACCTTCCTTCCTTCTGACTTAGAGGGAACACTGCTTTTATAAAACCCTTGGACAGGTAAGACAAGAACCAATACCACTGTACAGAATTCACTGCACAACTAGCTAATAGTAAGGAACCCAGCACTGACTTGCCACATTAAAGAAATGGGACTGAATACATTTGCAATCAACCGGTTAAGTGTACTGCACCGTAGGACTCGGTCTCTTGGTACGCAGCCCTTGTCCCTCAGTACGCTGGCACTTGGTAACCTTTCGGGTTGGCTTCTAAGGTCTCGGTGAAGGGGGGGCTCTGGTAGGTCTCTGTGCTCTCGATGCCGCTGCCGGTGGGGTAGCCGGGGTACGCCGCGTTGGGGTCAGTGGTGAACTGATCGGTGGCAAAGAGCGACATGTCCGTCCCCAGCCGGTATCTCTGCAGCGCCTTCACCGCCAGCGCGACCTGCCGCAGAACGAAGGAAGGTTGGGGGGGGGGATGGCAAGGCCATGGCTAGGACCCTGCATCCCCCCAGGACCCCGCGTCCCCCCAGCTTGCTGCAAAGCACCAAGTGCATCGCAGCATCCCAGGCAGCTGCCGGCCCCGCTCCATGATAGCTGAGAGCTAAACCAACCCCAGGTCACAACCCCTAATGCCAAAGAAGCCATTTTTATGTGACAGGTTGACCCACAAAGCTCTGTCCGGGGGGTTGGGGGGGTTGGCCACGCAGATTTGGCACCATTGGCACCAATAAACCCATCTGTTGTGGGGAGGGAAAGCTGCTGAGTCCCAGGCCAGCAAAATAGGTCAGTTCTGCCGAGACTCCTTCACCCTCTTCCAGGTTGCTGGTATTCAGGTCGCAAACCATGGGAAATGCGGATGGCAGAGCTGCGAGCGCACCACGCTTGCTCTTATTTCAGGAGGTTTCATTAACAATTCAATTAGTTTATAAATGACGGGCTCAGGGGGGAAAAAAATGCCCGCAGACACCGAGAATGGCTTCCCAACCACCACCCAGTGCCTGCTCCCCAGCACCAGTTGTGTGCCGATCAAGCAGAGCTTCTGGGTTTATTACCATCCTCCGTGCCAATAGCCGGGCACCGGTGTCCCACTGCCCTCCCCGGGTGGGAGCAGATGCTGATGGGACGGGGGGAGCATCCCACCCAGTGCCCTTCCCTGGTGGCTGCATTAAATGGGTAGGCTGGCAATGTAGTGATGGAGAAGAGCTGCGGGGGAGCTGGGATTAAAAGAGATTTATTGGGATAATAATAGAGCTGGGAGCAGTTAAACTGGCAAGTAACTGGAGCCAGACCTGCTGCTGGAGAGCCCCAGACTCTCTTTTGCCCCAATTTTTTTAAGGCAATATGGAATTGTGCACATCTCGGGTGCTCTCTGCCCACGAAAAGCCGGAGCGGGGGTGGCAGTGACGCAGGTCCTGCTCCTCCACAGGGAGCCTCCACAGCAGGAGCCCCCCGAGTGGCGCAGGCACCCCCGGGCACATGCGGGGTCCAGCAGCTGCGGTCAAGGGGCCCCGCGGGGTTTTGCACACCCCGGCAAATGTACCTGTACGGCCCCGGGGATGCACAGAGACTAAAAGCAGGAGCAAAGGGGGTTTCTGCAAGCAGAGGTGGGGCGGGCAGCAGAGGAGCCAGCCTGGCTTCCCCTGAGGGTGAGCTGATGAGCCTGAGAGCTCCCAAAAATCCCCCTGCCATCCCGTGAGACCAGCTCATCGCAGTGATCCGCTCCTGGCAACTCGTTTGCTTCAAACCAAGCTGCTCCCGGGGGTCTAACAAGGCCCTGAAATGAGGGCAGCTCACGGCTGGCAACACATTTTTGATGGGAACGCAACTTTCCAGCCGCACGAGAAGGGGAAGTCTGGAATTCCCCAGAGAGAGGGGACTGAGCTGATGCTTCCCGGGTGAGAAACCACAAGTTTCACCGCTATTTGGAGAGACCACACGTTTCCTCAGTACGGCCCCTTGCTGCCCACCAGGATTCACTTCTCCAAACCGTTCCCCAGATTCCTCCTCCCCGCTCAGTGCTGAGCCCAGAGCTGGTTTCATTTCTCCTCTCCCACCTTAGCTCTGAAGCTGAACTCACCCAGACGATGATAGAGAAGAAAGAGAAGGTGATTGCTGCCCGGGCAGCGTCTGCTCCTTGCAAAACCCCTTTGCTCATCGTCGTCCGTTGCCACTGGTTTGCTAGGAAGCAGAAGGCTACAAACCACAGGAAGGACAAGAAACCTGAAAGAACAGAGCTGGTCAGTGCTGTCCCTGCCCACCGACTCCTCTGCTGCAAGGACCCCCGTTTGCTGATGCACAAACATGCTGCCATCAAGATTTTCAAACAGCAACAGTGATCTGGGGTGCCCTGGCCTGCGGTGTGGCCGGAGAGCTTAAAAAAAGGCAAGTAACAATCACCCGGGAATATGGACAGGCTGAGATTAACCCCTGCTCCGAACATGGGGATCACAGTGACCCTGGGACGCCAGTGCATCCCACGAGCGCAGCGAACGAGCAAGTGCTCATCGTGCACCGTGCCCAGGGCAGGGATGCGGCAGGGCTGCCCACGGAGCCAAGAGGCACACGGGCTTCCCGTGAGGGAGCTCTGCTCGTCCCTGCTGCCCTCCGCTGACTTCGCTCCTGTTTTCAGCCTCTCTGGGCTCTGTGGGATTGAGCAAAAACACTCTGGTGATTAGTCCTTACTGGAACCAAAGCTGGCTGAGCAAGATAGGGCTGCAGCTTCCCTAATTCAATCACCAGCCAACAGCACTGCCTGATGCCAAAGAGCTCAGAAAATAGTCCCGAAGCAAGCCACAAGCGCACAGTGTAAGGAGCAGTGATGCTTTCCAGCCCTGCGAAGAGGAGCTGCACAACCTGGAGCCTTCCATGATGCTGTTTTAAGGGTCTCCAGCTTTCCCAAGCATCCCCAGCACAAAGCTCCCCCCCATCCGCCCATTCTGGGTGTCAGTGCACACAGGGACGCCGGGCACCGGCAGGCAGGATGCCGAGCTACCCAGCATCTTGTCAAGGATTGTCAGCACATCAGTATGAACAGCCACACTGCCAGTCCCATGCGGCAGCCGGCTGCAAAGCACAGTCTGACTGCAGGGAGAGGAAAGAAGCTTCCTTTATTCCCCTTTATCTTGCCAGTTATTCCTAAGTACGGTATAAAACACACGTGTGCATCCGCATCCAGTGCAGGAGTTACAGGGCTCATCGCACACCTAGCCTTAAATTCAGAATTTGCTTCTTCATGCAGTTTAAGAAAACGCACTCCTCATCTCCTTCTCTTGCACGACTGGGCCTGGGGCTTCCCAATCAGCGATGCTTTTGTCTGTCGGGCCGTGCTTGAGCCCTTGAACTGCCCTCAGAGCAACACAACCTCCAGCCAGGATCATCCAGGCTTTCCTTTTCCAAATTACAGCCTCATTTTGCCGAATACAGCTAATGCCTGCCACCAAACCCGCCCCAAATCTCTGCACATACCTCTTCCCTTCCCCTGAGGATAACTACTTGTTTTCAGTATTAAACGAGACCTCTAGGGTTATTCCTCGATGGTCATCCTCAGGGACAGAGACGCTTTCTAGTTCCCCAGCTGTTATACCAGGGCTTTACCAGCAGCAGATCCAACCCCTAAATGTGGATGCAGGAAGATGCATGCCTGAGAGATGGCATTGGCTGCAGCTCGGTTGACCAGTACGTGGTGAGCATGGTGGGTAGTGGTCCCCTGGCAGGTCTCAGTGCAGGAGATGCTGAACCACATCTCCAGATGCTGCACTGCTGCAGTGCTCCCATCTCTGGGTACTCGGGGAGCAAATGCCACGGCAGTGGGGAGCACTGCCCTCCCGTGCTCGAGGAGCAAGCTCAAAAAATGCACTTTCCTGGAGACAGCGGTATTTGGAAGTCGAAAGACCAGAGATGAAACGTAAGAGCAGCTTCCAACAGGTTAATTCGGAGCTGCACTGTGGGGAGCAGAGGGATGCTGAGGGACAAGCTCTGTGGCCATGCAATGCTGGCACCAAGGGACACAGGGTCTCCCAACAGGACTAGGCTGTGTCACTGGTTTGTAGAGGGTGAACTTTTTCAGGACTGTTTATTTCTTTAACACTCGATCTAGTGCAGTTCATCCTCCCTCGTATGCTCCTGGGCAGGACACTACCACAGAGCACGGGTCACAGCCCCAACACGGGGGCTGCCCGCTGGCCAGTGCCACAAAGCCCCATCTATCACTGGTGTCTTCTAAGGGTTTTCAAGAGTTAAAATGACATCATGCACATTTCCAAACGTGCACTGGCTGTGCCAGGTATTGCAGTTACCAGCTTCCTCTGCAACACTGAGAACTGCAAGATGCTGACCTTCCCAGGGCTAAAACCATTAACTTCATCAGACAGAAACCTCTGGCTGGGATCACTTCTGCTGCTACCCGTGTGGACTTCCCAGAGGTTTTGTGATGCAGAAGCAAGCCTTTCCCCTCCACACTCAGCTCTGCCTGGGTCCCTGAGAAGAAAAAGGATTCCCCGGGGAAGTGGGAAGGCAGGTATCGCTGCCAACGGAGGAGATGGGGTCAGGCATGGAGACCATCTCCAGAAACATCAGCCAGGCGTTGTTCGAGGTTTGGAGGACTGACACACGCCTGTGTGTGAGATCAGACCTCCCAGGGAGCTCTATGGGAACTATTTTTGTTTCTGTACCAGCGCTTATTTTCACTTGCGATCATGTTCACCTTCTGCTAGCACTCCTTCAAGATGAGACTTTGCACCCAGTAACGTGAATCAGACATGCAGGATCAGAGCTGACTCCTCTCGCACCCGGTGCCTCACCGGGAACACGGCAGTGCCCTCGTCCAGCACCCGCACGGCCCCGGTCCCGCAGAGGGGCCGGCAGTGCCTGCAGCCAGCCCCCGCTGTATTTGCACCATCAGGTGTGAGTGGATGTTTTGGAGGTGTCTGTTCCTACCCGTGAATTTTAAAACCTCACAAAGAGGGCTGAGCTGACAGTAGCGTGGTGAGGCTACGTGTGCCAGCCCCGACTCCAGCTGGAAACAGGCATGGCAGCAGCTCTGCACCCTCCAGCATGCAGAAGCACCGCAAGAATCCGTAGATAATTATCGTTTTAGGATCTGCAGACAACAGAGTGCAAACACCAGGAAAGATGTGTTACAGCCGTAATTACAGCCTGGTCCCAAGTAAGCGCATGTCTACGGGAGCAGCTGTAAGAGCAGATGGAAGAGAAAGTCGCAAATGCCGTTTGCACAGCGCCGTGGCCCTGCCTGCACCTCTGCCTGCACTCCTGCCTGCGTCCCAGCGTTACCTCCCAGCCGGCTCGGTGGCTCTGATCTGCCACTGATCCAATGCACAAGTCCTCTTCCCTTTGAGCGAAAGCCAGTTGTGGGTTAACGCTGCCATTAACTCCCCCACAACCTCCAGAGGCAGTAACTGCCAGTTGACATCTGCTTTGCTGGCAGCCGGCATCAGGCTCCTGGGTCACCCGGGCAAGGGGCCAGAAACAACCTGCTTTTCTCACCCCACCGCCCACCGCTCGGTTTGCAAAGCTCCCTCGTACCCAGGCGTGTTCCTCACCCGGTTACTTCCCAGATGCATTTTCGGCTTTTGTATTAAGCAATAACGCAGAGATTGCATACAGAGAGAAAGGATGAAATGGTTGCAAGGAAAAAGGAGGAAAGCAAGCATCCCATCCTCGCTGAGGAGCAAAAAAGAAGGGGACAGCATTAGAGTTCCACAGGGGATGTCTCCAGGGGTTATTAGCGTGGAGATAGTTAAATAAAGCAAATTCCGTGGGTCAGCTCTGCCTCTTGGCAGGTTGGGTGCCCGAGGCTGCTGGGAGCAGCGCAGGGGGGTGCGGTGAGCTGCAGTCTCTGCAGCTGCGGAGGCTTCACATGCCAACAAAACTCTGCACCTCATCTCTGCTGCGGGATCTGCCTGTATCGACACTTACTCTGGGAGCAACCAACTGCCTGGCATTTCTGCGGGGTCAGATGGGGAGGGGAAGGACCAGGCTGACCCATTCCTCCTGCCAGACCCCAGGGACCCGCACCGTCCCCGGGAGCAAACAGGGCAACTGCACGTCAGCAGCATCTCACCAAATTTGGGGTTAAGAGATGCGAAAACAAGACCTAGGTGGAGATGTGTCTACCTGCAACCTTGGACTTTGTTACAAGAGTCCCGGACAATGCTCCCCTTTGTGTCAGCATCGAGCTGGATTTCAGCACAGCATTTGCCAGGGTGCCCTGTGGGAAATGCTTCGTTAAGCGGGGAGAGCAGGGATTGTACAAGAGCAGCGAGAGAGACAAGGAGCTGCTGGCTGGGAGATGTACTGGGCAGTGTGAACAGAGGCAACGCCAGGCTGGAGGGGAGCTACAGAAGACCACTCTTTGCAGACCCTGATAGGTGACACTGTGTCGGACCCAGCTTGCATCCACATGACCTGCATGTAAGTGATTTATTTGTTTTACCAGCAAGGAAGCAGCTTGCCCGTTTCTTACCAAGAAGCCCGCAGAGGGGATGGCCCGAGGGAGCAGGACGTCTCTGCCCAGACACAGGCTGAAGACACGATGCACCTGGAGCACACACACTGACCCAGGGCGATCCTGGGGTAATGAAGTGTCACCGTTGGCAGCACAGCTGCGTCGGGTGGATTTACCAGCGCAGACCTCTGGTGCAATACTGCAGCCTGTCTCCAGAGCAGAGCACAACCCCTGCATGGCAAAGGCTTTGCAGGGCAGAACCTGTCTTCTCCAGCTCACTGCTGAAGCCTGAGAATGCACACGCAACGCATGACAAGTTCAGAGATTGAGAGCGGTACCATTTCACACGTACCCGGCAGGGGAGAGAACGGCTGTTATGAGGTGGAAGGCAGGGAGGATCACAACCTCACACCGTGACATGCTGCATCAGCCACAAGATGGATGTGATGTTCCCCTTCTGTTTAAATTGAAGGGTTGCAGGCACCGAGCCCCATGGAAGGGGCTGTAAATATCATCTAACGAGGGCTGGATGCCAGTGCTCTAGCACCATGGAAATAAGCTTTCCAGCAAGGAGAGAACATCCTTAAAAACAAGCAAGTGCAGGGAGGCAATGACGGATGTTTTCATTTGGGACCAGAGAGCCATCAGCAATGCTTGTGCTGGATAAATCACCTTCAGACTTTTTAACAAAAGAGTCTGGAAACGGAGAACATCAGCTGCAAACTCAGCCAGGCAACTCCCACGGCAGCCGAGCAGAGGACGGCCTGTCCCGGCTCACAGCATCCTGCCCACTCCTGTTCGCACGGATGAACCCCAGGTCAAGGGGCTCAAGATGGTGCAGAAGAGCCGTGCAGCCCTCGGGAGCCCCAGACCCACCTGCACTCCGCAGTCCTGGAGGCAGCGGGGGATTACAGTGGTACGTAGAAGCGTGTTTCTGCTTTGTTGCAAAACACACATGCATAAAGTGAAAACAGACCCAGATGTAATCGATGAAATGACATTTGCTTGAGCCAGAAACAGGAGATGCGGGAGGGTAAAACACCCCGTCTGGTCTCTGAGATGTGACCGCCGAGCCTCACTTCTCCAGGTGGCCTCGCCAAACCCAGCTCAGCAAACATTTCCGATTGCAGAAGTGACACAGACATGTGGAACACCCCACTGTCCCCAAGCCAACACACACCGGTTTCCTCACTGCCGCCTCTGTGCTCACAGCTGGATGAGACAACCCATCTGCCACCCCTGTTCTCCCCTGCTGAGGCACACGAGTTGTGCCACACCGCGGGAGGAGAGGGGAGGACTGAAGCGTGGAGCTGCAGGTCACAGCAACACCCCCGCACTGCCCACGGAGACAGCATCGTCCTTCGCAAGCGCAGCAAAGCCAGAGACGTACCTGAAAAGCCGAGGTCCAGCAGGACGGCCCGTTTGCGGTCCTTCACGCTGCTGATCTGCTGGAAGTAGAGGTCCACGATAAAGAAGAAGATACAGCCAAAGAAGGCAATGATGCCAACGGCGATGCCGTAGCTGCAGGCACTCTCATTCTCGTTGAAGATGCAGTGCAGCTCGGGGTCACGGCTGTCCTTGTTCACGTAGCACTCGTTCACGATGGAGCCAAACACCACGATGGAGAAGATCTGCAGAAGGAAGGAGAAGACACAACTTGCTGCTGTTTACATTTAACTCTGTTTTCCAACAGCAGCATAATTGGATTCAATCCTGTCTTTGACTCCATGGCAACATGGCATTTGTTAGACAGATCCTGACTCTCGCCTGGTTGGTAGCCCAAAGCAATGGGCTGGTGGATGGTACCTAGGTCTTCCTTCGCTGTGAGCCTGTCTGCCTTTCAGTGGCTTGGTCTGCAGAGTATTTTAAGGGATGTTATTCTCCAGACAGGCTGGGGAAGGGAAAAATAAAGAGATGGGCCAGGTCTCTGCACAGTCTTTCTGCTCGTGCTGCTCTCCACCGTCAGGCTGTGCTCGATAAACCCCCTTGTGCCACTGCGGAGCGAGGAGAAATGAAGTTACAGAGGATAACTGAGCTGCTAAGCAGGCTGACCCAGGGAAGGATTGGATTCCCAGTGGAGGGGGGACAGGACACAGCAGCATGGGGAGCAGCTCACCTGGGCGCAGCGGGGCTGGGGGACAGGCTGCCCTGTGAATGACAGGGCAATTTTTCGCCTGGCTTAGCAAGGGTTGAAGGATGCAGTGCCTGCATTCGTTATCCAGTGACCTGGTTTCAGACATGCGAGGGA